GAAAGCTTATGCTCCCAATACTTCTGTTAGTCTTAAAGGTGCCACAGGACCCTCTGTTGCTTTTTACAGATTCAGACTAAAAGGCTACCCCTCTGATATTTTCACCCTATGAGATTGTCAGTTGTAAAGCAAAACTTGCATGTTTCCATATAGCCTGGAATACAGACATTACCGGTGAGATTAATGCAGGCAGCAACTTACAAGTATTTTATAGAGGCTGAACACTAAATCGATTCTTATAAGACTAATACCTAGTTTGAACAAAGCTAGCATACAGGTGAACTGGTCTGGTTTCCAGCTATGAGTTTGTCAGTTCTTAGCTAATGCCTATGGCCTGGGCCAGGGTTAGCACTCGGTTTACCAGCGTCACAGCATCACTGCTGGGAAGGAAGATTCTGCCCTCTCAGTGCACCAGCCAATTCCCCTCACGATGCCTTAGGCAGAAGAGAATCCAACTCACTCTCCCCTGCCTCAGTCAGGCCCATGAGGAGCAAAACCACCATGCAGCAGAGCACGCAGAAGAGGTGACTTGAAGACACGCTGATCTTTGAGTAAAAGGCATCATCTTGGATGGGAGACAGTATGGTCTAGGGGCTAGAGCCTGCCCAAGGGATCAGGAGATGCAGGTTCTATTCCTGGCTTGGTCCATGATCTTGAGCTGGTCCCTTCCTCGCTCCACGCCTCTGCTGCTCCTCCCACACTTTATCTGGCTGGTCTATTTACACTAGAAACTCTTTGGGTTAGGGTTATGTAGACGTACAGCTCCTGGCACAACAGGGCCCAGATCTCGGTTTTTACCATACTACACCTAATAATCGTTTTTTAGAGCCACCTGCTCTTCCAGTTCTACAGTCTTGGCACATCGGAAATGCCCCCAGTCACACCTATGGTCTGGTCTACTCTACAGACATATAACAGTAGAACTACGTCACTCACAGGTGAGGAAAAAAAACCCTGAGTGATGTCATTATACCAACCTACGCCCCCCCACGTAGACAGTGCTACATCCGCAGGACAGCTTCTCCCACCGACATAGCTACCGCCACTCAGGGAGCTGATTTAACTACGCCGATGGGAGAGTTCTCGCCCATCGACTTAGAGTGTCTTCGTGTGTAGACGTACCCTATCTCTGGACCTTCGGGGGACGTTACAAGTCCAGTCTGTATTACTAGGTGCAATGGAGGGGGAGGGGAACTAGGTAGAGGGCAATCACTCGTTATTTCCGAGGGCCAGGAGACCCATTAGATGGGTCTGCTCTGTTCTTAAGCAGGCAAATATTTTGTACTAAGAGTAAATGCACAGAGAGCTCCACAGCCTCTGTCTGGCGAGCTCTGGAGGAAAGAGAAAGACCAGGACTGCCTTTTGTTATGTGTTCGTACAGCACCCAGCACTGTGGGCCCCGATCTCGGCTTGGGGCGTATGGATGCTACAGGAGCACAGATCGGAAACTAACAGCGGTCCTGTTCTTTACATATATTCTCTCCATATATATGTCATGCTTAGTTTATAGGGCAGAGGCTGATCTCATTGACTCCAGCTTGGCCCAATTCAGTTGCCTTTCATAGAGTTACTCCTGATTTACCCCCACAGGATAGGGCCAGGTCTGGAACGGATTTACCCAGATGAATTACAGTGGATTTGTACCAGCGTACGGGCCCTGATTCTGATCAAGCCATAAACCAGAACCAGATTCTGCCCTCCATCCCAACCAGGTAAATCTGGGATAACCCCATTGAGCGGCGGAGGAGGGGCTCCCGGGTTTAACTCGCAGGCAGGCGATTTATGGGCATGTTAAGCGGATTATGATGAAACGGCGACTGGATGGGCACGGAGATGCGTTCCGGGGAACGTCCCAACCACAGCCTCGTCATCCAGAGAGCCGAGAAACATCCATCGAGTCAACAAAAAATCTCCCACCAGCTCCATCTCCTCTTCCCCCTTAAAGCAAACATCTTCATTACAGCTCGGAGTTGTTTAAATAAATGAATTAATATTGACAAACCATCAACGGGGCTAATAAATGATTAGTTAAAGGCATACATACATCACATTACGGTTAGCACTAGCTGGGGCTTAATTACTTGTGGAGAGGATCCCATTAGAGAAGGTGCTAGATTGCCTTCTCCCTCTGCAGCTCTTAGCCCCCACCCCCTCTGCCCCCAACCCTTAGGGCCTCCAGGCCTGGCTCCTTGCCCCCTTGCGGATTTCTCTCACACGTTAAAACAGCATCAGCCAGTCAAATCTCACCCCTCTGCAGAGCACTTCGAACAGCTTATGCCCGGGTGAGTGCAGCTGGGAGACGTACCTGCAGCGCCTCCTGGTGGAACTTCCAAGGCCGTCCCGCTGAAGCGCTTTAGCCAGCAGGAGGCGTCAGCCAAGAGGACAAGGGGGCCTTTAAAGCGTCTCCCATGCTGGAGGGGAATCCGGGCTTGAGGGAGCTGGGACCCTTTCACCAGTTCAAGTCCAGCTGGGCCGTTTTCAATATTGGGCTGTATTAGTAGGAGCATTGCCAGCAGATCGAGGGAAGTGATTTTCCCCTCTATTCGGCACTGGTGCGGCCACACCTGGAGTATCGTGTCCAGTTTTGGGCCCCCCGCTACAGAAGGGATGTGGACAAATTGGAGAGAGTCCAGCGGAGGGCAACGAAAATGATCAGGGGGCTGGGGCACAAGACTTACGAGGAGAGGCTGAGGGAACTGGGTTTATTTAGTCTGCAGAAGAGAAGAGTGAGTGGGGATTTGATACCAGCCTTCAACTACCTGAAGGGGGGATCCAAAGAAGATGGATCTAGGCTGTTCTCAGTGGCGGCAGATGACAGAACAAGGGGTAATGGTCTCAAGTTGCAGTGGGGGAGGTTTAGGTTGGATATTAGGAGGGTGGTGAAGCACTGGAATGGGTTCCCTAGGGAGGTGGTGGAATCTCCTTCCTTGGAGGTTTTTAAGGCCTGGCTTGACAAAGCCCTGGCTGGGATGATTTAGTTGGGGATTGGTCCTGCTTTGAGCAGGGGGTTGGACTAGATGATCTCCTGAGGTCTCTTCCAACCCTGATAGTCTATGATTCTATGAAAGGTTGCTCCCACCTGGTGGCCACTGCTCCTCAGCCCAGCGTAGAGGGAGCCAGTGTTTGCCTGCAGGATCCGCCAGCACATTTGGTGCGGTCTCAGCAGAGCGGCCGTGGTGTGAATGACACAGAGGGGCTCTTGCTCCCAGAAAGGATCTGTTGAAGGTGAGGATTGAGGCACATGAACCGGGCTTCGGCCAGCCCTGGACTGGGTGAAAAAAAAGGCCATCAGACACCAAACCGGGCCAGTGCAGCACCTTTGCCCAGGCAGAAATACTCCGGCAATCATTGGGTTAACCTCCCGCCCTCAGCACACACACTCCTGCCTGTGACAAAGGCCTTCCTCCGCCGCTGCAGTGTGGCACGGGCAATCTCACGTGTGTGCATTTGTCTGAACGGCCCCCAAGTGTTCAGAGAGACGCCTCCTGCAGGCTGTGTATTTATCTGGCCCCTGTTATGGGGGTACGACAGCACCTCACAACCATGAACCTATCTGCCCCCTGGGGAGAAAATGCTGCCGTGCGTCTCTCACAGAGGGGCGACTGAGGCACAACGAGACTTGTGGGTGGGCTACACAGCAATCGGGCGATATGATTGCAGCCTGGAGATCAAAGCGAGCTCAGCTATCAATAGCCGTGAAGCCCGGGTGGCATCCACTCGAGTACGTACCCACGGTCCTGGGCAGGTGGGGCTAGCCCGCTGCCGCATCTTCATTGCGATTGTTACTCACTGCTGTCCTTCGGGCTCCCTCCTATTGCTACTCGTCCGATCAAAGCCAGCTCGGGGGTGGCTACACGCGCTGCAATCCCATGGGCCATAGACATCCCCGGAGGGCTGGTCTGCACTCGAAAATGTGATCCGCCCAGCTGTGTTGCCCAAGGGTGTGAAAAATCCACCCCCACCCCTAAGCGGCGTAGGTAAGCTGATCTAAGGCCCCGTGTAGACAGGGCTAGAAGTCTTCTGTCGACCCAACTACTGCTTCTCGGGACGGTGGATTTGCTATCTAAGTGGGAGAACCCCACTACTCTGAAGCTCTCCAGCGGTGCAGCTGCGTGGCATTAGTGTTTCAAATGTAGCCAACTTATTAACCAGTTTCTTTCCACTCTAATAAGGAATTTCTCTCCCAGTGGTCAGTCCTGCCAGCACTTGTATAGTCCAGAGAGCTGGGATCCACTTCTCATGGAACACTCGTGCTGGCAGAGTATCGCCTCCGCAAGGGATAACATCTTGTGCCCTGGCTTCTTCTCTTATGCAATCCCAGATCTCGTCTTATTCCGTAATCAGGGCGTTTCGTTACCTTCAGCGCAGCCCTGGGGGTCCCCTATTCAGAGTCTTTTCTTGGGTCCTTTTGTCTTTGGCTACAGGTACACTGAAATTGCTCCCATGGCACGGCTGCAGCCTGCACCGCTCTAGTGCTTCAGTGTAAACACTCCCTCCAGCGACAGAGAGGTTCTCCCATCGCCGCAGTTAATCCATCTCCCCAAGAGACAGTAGCTAGATTGATGGAAGAATTCTGCCTCTGACCTAGCACTGTCTATACCGGGGGTTAGGTTGGCTTAACTATGCTCAGGGCTGTGGATTTTTCACACCCCTGAGCGCTGCAACTGCCTCACCCTACCTTTCGTAGTGCAGACCTGACCTTTTTAAATGCTCAGGCCGGCATCTGGTTCAGACTGCGAACACAGGGCTGGGGCGAAAGATGTTGATTGTTCTCGCTCGTGATTGAGTTAGCTGAGACCTCCGGTGACGTGCTTCATCGCCAACAATTTTGGACCATAATATTCTCCATATCTCTTAAAATATGCCCTGTATTTCCCAAATCTCACAATACCCATCATGATCAGCTAGT